GCCGTAGTCGGATAGATATAAATACCACCTTTAATTAAATTACGGTGAATATCAGCAACCATAGAACCAATATACCTGGAAGTATAAGGCCTGTTAGTCGCCTCATCATGAACCTGTGCATATTTAAGGTATTGCTTCACCCCCATAGGGAAATGCACATAATTACCTTCATTGATCGAATAAATACTACCATCCTTAGGCACTTTCATATTCGGATGAGATAAACAAAACTCCCCGATAGAAGGGTCCAGCGTAAAACCATTCACTCCTTTACCAGTTGTATAAACCAGCATCGTTGAAGAACCATAGATCACATAACCCGCTGCGACCTGCTCTGTACCCTTCTGAAGCACATCAGCCAAAGTAGCCATTCCTTCTACAGATTTCCTGCGATAAATAGAGAAGATAGTTCCCACAGCCACATTAACATCAATATTTGAAGAACCATCCAAAGGATCGATACAAACAATGTATTTTGCATTTTTAGAGACTGGAGAATCAATAGGGACAAAATCATCTTCCTCCTCAGTTGCAACGATACAGCACTCCCCTCCGCTGGTCAGCGCAGAAATAAACTGGGTATTAGCAAAAACATCTAACTTTTTCTGCCCTTCCCCCTGGATATTTACCGTTCCTGCATCCCCAAGAATATCTACTAATCCTGCTTTATTTACCTCGCGGTTAACAATTTTTGCGGCGATCCCAATATCTCTCAATAATCTGGAAAGCTCTCCTTTTGCGTAAGAGAAATCAGCCTGTTTCTCAATAATGAATTGTCCTAATGTTTTTATACCCGACATATATACTTAGTGTACTTTATACGTTACCTATTACCTATTTCTATGGCCTCTAAGGTATGGATTTTTTCTTCCGAAATACAAAAACGAATTAAAGTTTTAACTTTATGCCAGCCCGATTTACCTGCTGCACCCGGGTTTATATGCAAACAGTTAATTTTAGGATCAAACATCACTTTTAAGATATGAGAGTGACCAGCAATGAAAAGCTTCGGGGGGTTAGTGTATATTTCACGCTTTATATTTGGAGCGTATTTTCCGGGATATCCGCCAATATGTGTCATCCAAACAGCTACATTTTCACAGTTAAAACGCAGATGCTCTGGAAACTCTGCTCTGATCTCCTTATCGTCAATATTTCCATACACCCCTTTTAGCGGTTTGAAAGCTTTTAACTTTTCCGCAACATCAGGTCCAAAATCCCCCGCATGCCAGATCTCATCACACTCATCAAAGTACTTATAAACCGCATCATCCAGGTAACCATGCGTATCTGAAATTAATCCAATTTTTGTCATTTAGAATCCGTTAAAATTTATTAAAAACTGTTTAAAAGGCCAGTAAAAAATCCCTGAGCAGATATTTATACTGATCCGTGTATAAATTCAATCCTTCATAGATATATAAATGTTCTTCCACAGGCGGCCTGTCAGAAAAACCAAGACAAATAATCTGTCTGAATGAAGCCTTAGTCTGATCAGAATACACATGAACGATCTTTGAAGGAAAAAGTTTTTGAAGTACTGCGTTGACCACAACAGACTCTGCCTGTTTCACCGGAAGAATTAACCAAATTAATCCATCCTCAGTCAGCATTTCAGCAGCCTTTTTCAATAACAAGTCAAAAAAACCCTCATCCGCATGCCTGGCAATTTCCTTTCTTTTTTCAGGATTCTTTAAATCATTCACAAAATAAGGAGGATTGGAAACAATCATCGAATACTTCAGCGTGGCCGTAAAATCTTCAAAGGAAGAATAAAGTACACTCATTCTGTCAGCAAATGCAGAATTCAGACAATTTTTTGCTGCCGCTAGTGCAGCAAGCTCATCAATTTCAACCGCATCCACATGGGCAGAAGGGAAACGCTGTGCCATCATCAATGCAATTACTCCAGTTCCAGTACCTATATCCAAAATGTTCACAGGATCCGGATGCACAGCTAAAGCTCCCAAAATAACCCCGTCCGTATTTATTTTCATCGCACAACCAGCCTGATCAACTTCAAACTGTTTAAATCTGAAAACACTCCCCATCTAGCACTGATAAATCTCCAGCGGTAAACCATCAGGATCAGTAAAAAAAGTAAACTTCTTACCCGTATACTCATCAATTCTCAACACTTCGGTCTCTACCCCTTTAGCATTTAATGCAGTAGCAACAGCAGCAACATCATCAACCTCAAAAGCTAAATGCCTCAAACCCGCAGCCTCCGGCCTGGAAGGTCTTTCAGGAGGGTTTTCAAAAGAAAACAATTCTATCTGATAAAGCCCGTTTACAGACAAATCTAATTTATAAGAATTACGTTCCTCCCTGTATACCTCCTGAACAACTGTTAAACCTAATATATTAACATAGAAATTTTTACTAACCGTATAATCTGTACAAATTATAGCAACGTGATGAATTCTTTTGAACATAAGCTCTTTTCTTGTTTTAAATCCTGATCAAATGTAAAAATTATAAAGGTTTGAGCAGAAATTTAACATAAAAACAAGATTATCTTCAAATTATAAGAATAGAAATGACTAAATTCCGAAAAATAACATCCATTTAACAAAAAAAGCAATCTTAGTTTAAACCAGCGTTAAAGCC